GGCCGCACCTGAATATAAGCCACTGGTGTCCACATCTTCAAGAAAGTTTTCAAGTTTGGGCTGTCTGCTTTTATCGCCTCTGAAAGCTTTTGTCGTCTTTTTGCATTGAGCCAGTTCGTCACGCTGTTGCCAAAATCTCACCATCAGCTCACTGATGCAGAGCTCACGTGCAGAAGCTCTGTTTCCTTCTTCCACAGCCACATCAGTCACCATTAAATTAAAAGCTGCATCATCTGCATTTCTTTGTGTGTTTATGAAAAAACTATTCAAAACACAATCAAACGAGCATCTTCCTCGGTGCATCACCCCTGTCTCTCCCCGCACTCTTCTGCGCATGTCTCCTGCAGAAGCCACTCTCCTGTCTGTATCATGTCAGTAGCGTGGTAGCCAGGTTGGTGCCACCTAGTGCCTCTGCTCAATTTCATTTCTCTCCAGCAACTAGGTCAGGAATCAGAATATACTAGACCAGGGGTGGCGAACAAGTTTGACACAAAGAGCCGAAATTTTTTACTGTGAGAGGCAAAGAGCCACACCACGCACTGACCTGCCAAGACAGACAGACACACACAAACACACGCAATTAAAAACATATTGTTTCTTATAACACACTCCTCTCCTTACAATAATACAACAAGTATTGTTCTTTTGTTCATTTCATGGAAAGTGTCCACCCTCAATACACACATCAAATGCACCTTAGCCAGAGTTAACACAGCAACTACCCTGGAGGTCAGATACCCCCTCCACACACACAGGCACCTCTCTCTCATCTCATCACACACACACACACACACACACACACACACACACACACACACACACACACACACACACACACACACACACACACACACTTTTTCTCACTATCTAATTCTCTGCCTCTCTCTGACACACACAACTACTGAACACACTTCAGATGCACAGATAGAACCTGTATAATGTAAATTGATGGAATATTAAAATATTCACACAAGCATGTTCAGTCAGGTGTTTTTTCCAAACTACACTAAATGTCGCGTAAAAAAGGGTTCAAAGAAATTTTATTCAATGTGAAACACAAAAAAAATCTATTTGAATGTATAAACTAATGTCAGGATTTTTTATCATTAAATTTTGATACTTAATAAAAAATAAACAATAAAATGTTTATACTAAGTTTTTAATTAGTATTGCTGGAGTGATGGGATGATATTCTCAGTGGGATTTCTGGCATCTCTTGTTTCCAGTAATCCTCTGCAAATCAGGTTTGTATTCAGTTGTAGCCACTCGGAGCAGTTCCTTTACGTGAGTGTCAGTCAGAACGGACCGATGCCTTGATTTCACGTGTTTCAAGGAAGAAAACAGGGACTCGCAGACATATGTTGACGAGAACATCGACAGCAGCTTGAGAGCGGCTCTTTTTACACACGGGTATTTTTCAGTTGGCACAGTTCTCCAAAACGTAACAGGGCCTTCTTTCAAAAAAGATTTCAGTCTGTTATCTTCGCGTAGCTCAAACATCTCCAGTTCAGTAGCTGCCTCATCAGTGACAAGCGGGGATTTCAGGCAGTCAGTCTCTGCATTAAAAGGGTCGATGAGAAAAGTGATCTGTGGTCGTTTCTGCTGCAGGTCATCAAACCGCGAAGTAAAGTTCCTGTGCAGCTGCGCAAGCAGTGTCACATACTGCGCTGTATTCATTTTAATGGCAGCCTTCTGCTGTGCGCTACGCAAAGAAGGAAAGTGGGATAAATTGCCGTTTTGAATGTGCACTTTGAAAAGCTTCAACTTGTTAATAAAAGAGAATACACTTTGTGCCAGATCAGGAAGAGTTTTTAATTTCCCCTGCAGATCCAGGTTTAGTTTATCCAAGTGTGAAAGCATGTCCACTAAAAAAGCCAAATCCATAAGCCAGTTGGGGTCTGAAATCAAGGGGTAAGTTTTGTTCTTTTCTGCCATAAACAATTTTACTGCTTCCAAAAGTTCCAAAAAGCACGAAACCACTTTACCTCTTGAGAGCCTCTTGAGAGCCATCTCACAACGCAGTGCAGTGGCAGGTCACCAGGCAAGTCTGCGTCAAGTTCAGCAATGAGATTTTTGAACTGCCGGTGATTAAGAGCGTGCGTACGGATGTAGTTCACAATCTCCATCACAGGTTTCATGACGTGGTCTAAATTCAGTGTTTTGCCATTTTGACCATGAGGGTAACAGTCTGCAGCTCATGAAATGTTTCCTTCATTTCCCGGCATTAGACGTAACCCGCGAAGATGATTGGCAGTCACTTACGTGTCCGGAGCAGCAGAAAAACACCCAATCTGCCAAATTAATTTTAAAATATTATTTATTATTTGTTTTTAATACTCTCTGATGGATTCGAGTGTGGTTTAAGAGGAAAAAAAACTAAACATGAAACGAGGCAAAGAGCCACAGTATATAGAAAATATGATGAGGCAAAGAGCCGCATGCTTATTGGCCGAGAGCCGCATGCGGCTCAAGAGCCGCGTGTTCGCCACCCCTGTACTAGACGGTTCGCAAAAACCACGGAAGTGCAAGTTCGGGTACCAGCCATTCAGCGAAGAGACATATATTCTGTTTTGTCAATGATTCCTGAGATCTAGGATTTAAATCTGGAATATAAAGAATGTTTGGTGAATTTAATCAAGAGGAAAGACGTTACTGCCCTTCTTCCTACAGGATTTGGGAAAAGCTTAATATGCCAGTTAGCACCGTTAGTGGTGCATTACATACGTCACGACCAAATAGCAGCGATTGGTGAAATGAAAAAAGTACCTGGCTAGCATCAAGCGAACAAAATCTAACACTGGGAGGTCAGACGGTTTCTACAAAGTGAAGCAGTGGGTAGCAGTCACCTCCCACTGAGAGGAGATGAGGGTCCCTTCACAGGAATGGTTGTAGCCGTACTTTCCAGACTGAAGACACCTGCACACACGCACGCACGCACACACACGTACAAAATATAAAAATAAAAAAAATACATCTTGCAGTTTTTCATGTTTTTAAGACAGTAATACAAACCCTAACCTTAGCCTATAAACTAATAATGATTTGTTCCTATGTTTCCATGCTTTGTGAGGACATTACATTGACTTTTCATTGACTTGACTTTTCCTGGAGACTGATACTTTTAACCATTATTACTCATTTTAGTGTCTGGATGGGTTTTCTCAGGGCACTCCGCTTTCCTCCATCAACCCAAAACATGCCCCATAGGTACAATCCAGCATATTCAGACTGAATTCATTTCTCAAACAGAAAACACTCTGTTCCACTTTATGATGTCATGTGGTAATAAATGAAGTGCTAAGCTGTGTTTTTAAACTCCATACACCTTCACTAGAATCATTTGGATAGTTTCAACCTTGGAATTGCCAGTCTTTACTGAAACTAAAGCTAAAAGGTAGCTGATAACTTGACAACTACCGCTTCATGACATCACAAGGTCTAGCAGAGCATTTTGAGCTATGGAGACATTTAGACAGACTAATAATGCAGGATTACTCAAACATGTATGAATGAAAAAAAACACAACTCCAGGTATGCCTTTGATGAGGTAACAGCATCTTATCATCCTAAAAGCTCACAAGAATGAATGTTGTGTTATATAGGACATTTAAAATATAAACTTTAAGTGATCAGACACAAACCAAATCTTTACAGACCCCCCTTGGCATGGTTGATGTGGGAGTCACCGTTGAGCATCTTGGGCTTGTAGCAGTACCAGGGCTCTCCAGTGTGTAAGTTGGGGGTAGTTACACAGAGGCTGCTGGTCAGGGGGCAGGCACAGGTTGCACAAAGTGGTCACAGTGATACGGTGATCTGTTTCAGTGTAAATGTAGCCATAGTCAGATATCACATCAGGGTTAAACTTCCAAATTGCACTTGTTTTTGCTCACTGGCAACACAAGCTGTACACGGCCTACATGCAGATGAGACATGAGCTGCTCAAATCAAAGGATTTATACAACGTGTGTCAATCAAATGGTTCAGCTTCATAGCTACAAAGGAAAATGGAGCATGCTAATAACAGCATCTACAAACAAGATAGCTGCGTACTAAAGCTTACTCAAGTTACATAACTATAACAGTGATAGGAGCAATGCATATGAAATTTGCGTGTTCAGCAACAATATCGGCAGATCTGCGGTGCTCCTTCTCCTTCCTAGAGCTCTGTTGTTTCTCAAACACATTGCTCACATTGACTCCGTGTGAGCACGGGCTTTGTCCGATTCACGTTTTCTTTTCCTTGCATCCTTGGACAAAGGCTTCCGCTGTCTTTTAGGGTGTGCCATGGCTGACACATCACAAATAAACACCAGATACTTATACTTGCAGTGATCTGCGAATAGCACCTGTAAGGGGCGTGTCGCTAACTTGGGTACCTGTGTGTATTTTGAAGTGCTGTAAAGCAATGTGGCTTTCGCGAGAACAAAAACAGAGTCCTGAGAGCTGACCCCGGGTCGGTGGCAACGAAGTTACATGTCTGGTATTTCCGCCCAAAAACAGCTGGGGGTGACAGTGTACCCTTCAAACACGCCAAAATGTCATTATGTAACCATTAGAGGGACTTTGAAAGACATTAATTAAGGGAAAAATGTTACTTAGTTCTGCTTTAACTGCACATCCCCAAATATGACAAAAACATAGACTTCTCTTACAAGAGGCAGTGGGCAGCAGTCACCATACAGACTGAAGAGACACCTGCACCGACACGCACGCACGCACACACACATTTAACAAACTGCGCAAGTCTTGACTCTTACACACATGGACTTTAACTTCTGAAAGTTGTAACATCAGTTACTTTTTAACTTAATTCTTTCAATTTGATAGTTTGATACAAAACTTTCGATAAAAATAGTAGACAATGAGTGGTTAACAAATTTCTTTGAATTTTGCGAGACCAACTTCATCAATAAATACTCTACAACATTTTAGAATTTTAAAAATTTTAGAATTTTCAGCATGATTAACTGTATAATTTGTAATGTAAAAACAGTACTTCAAAGTGTTTTACAGTAAAATAGCAGTGTATTAAGACCATTAAGTCTATGTCATATGGCTTTTCTTTTCAGGGCAGATGTAAGACAAAAGCATGTTTATCATGTTTTTCACAATAGCAGGAGGAGGGTGGAGTGCATGAGGCAGTGGGTGAGCCTGTGTCATCTGCCAGGCATCGATCACGTGCACGTTCATACCCTTAAACATGGCTCTGAGCACTTGGTCCAGCTGCACAGAGAACCAGTCACTGTTGTACAGGCTCACCTCCTGGTCCAGTGCTTGAAGATTAGCAGTCCGGACTACCACCATCGTCCCAGGGGCCCGGTCCATAAGTCTGAGCACGGCCCCCCGGATGTGACGCAGACGCCTGATGTAGACCTCCACAGGGAACGTGCTAAAGTGCGCCCAGATACTCAAGACCACCACTGTGTTGGGGCCTCCCGAGAGCCCGTCCAGCTCGTTGGAAATGTACCGTAACTCACTGGACAACACTGTGGAGAAGCGGATGGGAGGGCCGTGACACCGATACTTCAGCAGAATGTTATGGTCACTGTCCACTGCCATGAAAGGTCCTACATTCTTAGGACTGTTGAGGTTGAACTCCTTTAAATCTAAACAACATCAAATGGATCCAAATCAAAATAAGTTATACATTATCAAAACTTAAAGGTGCAATGTGTAACTTTTCTGGTGGAGGGTCTGTCAAATGCTTTTCTGCATGGAGATGTTATTGCTTTGTCTGGAATGTTTCACAGTATTAAACATTTCTATCTTCAAGGAGACCAAACTACCAAGTTACAGGTCAGATCTGTGGAGACGCAAGAATGCCTGTTAGGGTGGTCCAGAAAAACATGTAAAAAAATAAAAGTTTTAAATTTCTCGATTTGAACCCAGCAAACATTGACCATAAATACAAAAGCAACAGGGTTAAAATTTCAGTGAAATCCAACATGATTTAGAGGTTGCACAAGCCTTTTTAAGTTTCAAGAATTCTCTCTCAAATAACAAAAGTGTGTCTGTTTGTCACACTGCTTTGTGTCTGATGAGTTGGCAGGATTACATACTCTACATTTTGCCACTTTTCATTAACTAATCCATTATATTCTTTCAATAAGCAATAATCTCTGCAACAGTCATACCAATTTAGCAGAGACAGAATAGTTGTCATATGAGATCAACACTGACAATCAGTTTACAGTCATGTATACTGTATAGCATGACTGCTGAAGACAAACTTTAGAAAAAGGCTATGAGGAAAGATTTGTCAGCTTAACATTGCTGATAGTGTTGGTAAGTAAATTTCTGTTTTCTATATACAAAACCTATGCAATAGTTTGTCAAATTTAATATGAACAGTGCTAATATTAATTAAACACTGACTGATTTTTTTAAAGTTTGTACTAAATTTAGTGGATTATTTTGCTGCTGTAGTAGCCTCTTTGGATGACTGGAATATTTCCAGATATGTCAAAGGTCTCTGCTTTGACACAACAGAAAGCAACACAGGCCGTTTCAATGGTGCTTGCATCCTCATCGAAAGGGCTATTGGACGAAATCTTCAACACTTTGCATGCCGCCACCATATCTTGGAAATTGTCCTGGACAAAGTTTTTCATGCACTGCATATAACAACCTCTTCTGGACCAGATATTGCCATATTTAAACGTTTTAAAGAGAAGTGATCTTCACTTGACACTGCCTCATTCTCTACAGCTGCTGAAATGCCAGATGTAACCCCTTTCAAAGATGAGATATTGCTGTTTGCAAAGGAACATCTTGAAAAAAAACAGCAAAGAGATGACTACAAAGAATTCTTAGAGCTTGCTGTTATCTTTCTTGGTGAATCTCCAGCAAGAGGAGTGCATATTCAGGCCCCTAGTACATAGTACATAGAGCACGCTGGATGGCAAAAGTTCTTTATCCAATTGTTAAGGAAGCAGGACTGACTGCATTCAAGCGACACCTTTGGTACTTGACTGAAGTAATGATGGGGCTTGCTTTCTTTGATCACAATGTCAACACACATCAAAAGGTACAGATGGTTAGGGACACGCAAGAAAGAGAGGGATCACCCCACGTTCCCCACCGTCTTGATGCAAATGGAAGCTATGAACAGAAGACTCTCAGCAATTTTGTGACAAAGAATACAAATGCATTCTTTACTATTCTTGGTCTGCCACAGTCATTTCTGCAAATGCCACCTGAAACATGGAAGGAAAATGAGGAGTTCACTTATGCAGAGAAGGTAGTCCGATCCCTGAAAGTTGTGAACGACACAGCAGAACGGGGAGTGAAGTTGATCCAGGACTTCAATGCTATATTAACCAAATCAGAAGAACAGAAACAATTCCTACTACAGCTGGTTCAAAATCACAGAAAAAGCTACCCTGACTCAAAGAAAGACACAGTTGTCAAAGGTCTTGCCACTTCTTCAAGTGAGCAGGCAGTTTGAACTGACTTGGTTATCGGGTTAGTCATTTTCATCAAATGATATTTTTTTTATATAAGTTTCATTATATTATGTTACAACATGTGCTTTATGCATATATATTATATAAATATATATATTAAACCTATAGCATATAAGGAATAAATACTTTGAAAATTGATATTTCTGCTGATTTATACTATTTGGCTAATAAAGAGAGATAAAAAGGTGATTTTTCTATGGTGTTGTGCAACCTCTAAATGTCATTTAATGTAGCTCAAATTTTTATTTGTTAACTTTAACTGGTAGTAGGCCAAAATGCACGGTTCAAATTAGAAGAAAAAAGAAAAAAGTTTTTTTGGGTCACCCTAATGCCTGTTTTTCAAGCTATTTTGGAGTTATAAAACCACCTGTAACTTAATAAATGTAAAGTAGAGCTGTTGTCACATGTCACACAGTTGAACATTCCAGGCAGAGTAATGACATATTATCCAAACAAACAAGCAGGTGGTGGACCCCCAACCAAAAAGTTACATAGTGCACTTTTAAAATTTGTAATAATAATGTTACCTGGTACTAAAGCAATTAGGTATTCAAAATACTGGCGTACTGTTGAGTCCCCGTACAAGTAGATCATTTTGTTCGTCAGACACTGAGTGGCGACGGTGGAATCATTGAATTCTCTTATTTTAAACCCATTTAGTGGCTTCCAGTTGTCGTCATAGTAATAACCAGAAGGGCCTGTTGTTGTTGGCTCTGGATTTAGAGTGTCACTTTCAATCACAGTTTTGTCTGTAACAAAGATGTGAAAGTGTTATAGTAAGCATTTTAGCATAAATTGGGAAATGAAACTATATCAGCTGCTGTACCTTTGAGTGGAGGCAGGACATTGATTTTGTCTGGGCCTGAAGCATGAATGTGAACTTTGAGATTAACTCCACTAAAACAGAAGTATTAAACATGAATTAATATCCAGTGTTGGGGAGTAATGGATTACATGTACCGGAGTTACGTAATCAGAGTACAAATTATAAGTAACTATATTCAGTTACAGTTACTGTTTCAGTGAGTGGTAACTGGATTACAGTTACTTTGTTCAAATAAATGGATTACATGGCGGTATTTTTCTGTTTTCACATTTTGGGCTAAATCCCCCCCTTTTTTTTTTTTTTCTTTTTTCCCGTAATTCCACTCATTGCCGGAAACTAAACCAGGTCTAAACTAGATCTAAACCAGGTCTGAACCAGGACTAAACGAGGACTAAAACCAGGTCTCAACTAGATCTAACGCAGGTCTAAACCAGGACTAAAACCAGGTCTAAACTAGATCTAAACCAGGTCTAAAACCAGGACTAAACCAGGACTAAAACAGGATTTAACAGGACTAAACCATGCTTCACGGATGTGTCTCCTCCTCTTCTATCAATAATATTTTTAATACGGTTAAGTAAAGACTGGGCTTTTATTGTCTTTTAGCAGACAAAACATCTTATGTTACAATATCCTAGTCTTTGCTACTCTACAGCAAATCAAGTAATCCAGAGTATTCAGATTACATTACTCACCTTAAATAACTTAATGGGTTCTGTTACAAACTACATTTTGGGGTATGTAATCTGTAATCTGTAGGGGAATACATTTTAAAAGTAACCTTCCCAACAACGTTACTATCTGAACATCAGATACAGTCGTAGACAAAATTGTTGGTACCCCTGTGGTAATGAAAGAAAAATCTACAATTTTCACTGAAATAACTTGAAAATAAGAAAAGCAGTAATAATGCTTTTGAATTGTTGTTCAACAGAATTATTTAAAAAAACTAACTAATGAAACTGACCTGGACAAAAGTAATGGTACCCCTAGAGTAAGTAAGATTGTAAATAATTGGATAATAGGGACATGTTAAACTTAGGTGTGTCCTCTAATTGGCCTCACAGGTGTCTTCAAACTTGTTCTCAGTCAGTCTGCGTGTTTAAAGGGGGACATGTTGTCATTGTGCTGTTTGGAGACATGATGGAGACAACACTGAACAAGGACCAGAGAAAGAAGAAGAGAACTGTGTCAGGAAACTAGAAAGAAAATGATAGATAAGCAGGTTAAAGATAAAGGCCATAAGACCATCTCCAATCAGCTTGATGTTCCTGTGATTACAGCTGCACGTTATTCAGAAGTTTCAGAAACCAACCTCCCTGGATGTGGCTGCAAGAAGAAAATTAACGACAAATTGAAGAGATGGATCATATGAATGGTAACCAAAGAGCTCAAAACAACCTCCAAACAAATTAAATGTGAACTTGAAGAGCAAGGTACATCAGTGTAAGATCGCACCATCAGTCACTGTTTGAGCCAAAGTGGACTTCATGTGAGGACACCACTGCTGAGCTTCTGGGAGAATGTGTGTTGGACAGATGAGACAAAACTAGAGCTCTTTGGCAAGACAAATCAGCTCTATGTTCACAGAAAAAATAAACAAAAATAAAGCACACCAAGAAAAGAACACTGTCCCTACTGTGAAGCCTGGAAGAGGCTTATGTTCTGGGGCTGTTTTGCTGCATCCGGCACAGGGTGTCTTGAATCTGTGCAAAATACAACAGAATCTCAAAACTATCAAGGTATTTTAGAACGAAATGTGGCGCCTAGTGTCAGAAAGCTTGGTGTCAGTCATAGGTCATGGGTCTTCCAACAGGATAATGACCCAAAACACACAAGAACGGCTAAGAACAAAACATTGGACTGTTCTGCAGTGGTCTGTAAGCCCAGATCTCAGTTTTATTGAACATCTGTGAAAGAAGCTGAAAGATGCAGTCTGGAGAAGGCATCCTTCAAATCTGAGACAACTAGAGCAGTTGACTCAGAAATGGGTCAAAATAATCAGTGCAGAAGTCTCATTGACAGTTACAGAAAACGTTTGATTGCAGAGTTTGCCTCAAAAGGCTGTGCAACAAAACTTTAAGTTAAGGGTACCATCATTTTTGTCCAGGCCAGTTTAATTATTTTGTTTTTCTAATAATTTTATTGAACCACAGGTGAAAAACAATGTTTGATTTTGTTGGACAATTTTCAGTATTTTATTATTATTTTTTTTATTATTGCTTTTCTCAATTTCAAGTTATTTCAGTGATTACTGTTGATTTTTCTTTCATTGCCTTCCTGTTTATTATGGTGCTATTTTGAGCACATCTTACTTTTTAAAATATAGAATGTTATGTCTGTCATGAATAGTTCACTCCTATGGCATCAGTGCTATTTTTTTCATTACTCAAAGGCATCTGAAAAACATTAACAGCAGTTATCCCTCTCCCAATACTATCACCATCTTTCTTCATATGATTATTTTTGGCTTTATACCACCAACCCAAAACAGTTTGAATTGTGTTTTGTTTCATTCGCAAATGTTTAACACACAGATCCAGCATATTTAGACTGAATTCACACCTTCCATACACCTTCACTAGAATCATTTGGATAGTTTCAACCTTGGAATTGCCAGTCTTTACTGAACTAAAGCTAAATGGTAGCTGATAACTTGAAACCTACCGCTTCATGACATGACATCACAAGGTAGAACAGAGAATTTTGAGCTCTGTAGGAGATATATAGACAGCCTTATAATGCAGGATTACTTAAACATGTGTGAATGAAACAAAACACAACTCCAGGTATGCCTTTGATGAGGTAACAGCATCTCATCCTAAAAGCTCACAAGATTCAATTTTGCATGATACAGGACCTTTAAAATATAAACTTTAAGTGATCAGACATAAACCAAATCTTTACAGACCTCTGGAATAGCAGTGCCTCATTATTAGTGATGATATGCTTCACGTAGCCCCCCTTGGCATGGTTGACGCGGGAGTCACAGTTGAGCATTTTGGGCTTGTAGCAGTACCAGGGCTCTCCAGTGTGTAGGTCAGTGTAGTTACACAGAGGCTGCTGGTCAGGGGGCAGGCACAGGTTGCACAAAGTGGTCTCAGACAGAAATCCAAGGCGAAATAAGCTTTTAAAAAACACTCTGTCAGAACGCTCCTCTCTTAGTCGCTTCAGCACGGAAATGGCCTCACTCGGATGGACCAGTGTTACTTCAACCTGCACATAGACATAGGACCATAAAATATTTAGAAATTTGGTGTCTCCATCATGGACACTCACCCACTGCATCAAACTGTAGAGGGACAGATAATACTCCCTACAACTGTACAACAACTCACCCTTATGTAACAGATAATACTCCCTACAACTGTACAACAACACTCCCTTATGGAACAGATAATATTCCCTACAACTGTACAATAACTCACTGTTATGGAACAGATAATACTTCCTTCAACTGTACAACAACTCACTCTTATGTAACAGATAATACTCCTTACAATTGTACGGACCTCTTGTATATAGCTGAGATATATATTTTTACTTATTTTCTTATGTTTACTTGTATGTACATAATACATTTACATAATTATGCCTTATTTGACACAAGTCTCTTATTTATATTTTTATTTCTACTTATTTAGAATTTATTATTACCATTTATATTTTTTACTCTTTGTTATTAGAATATATTGTGATGCGTGAGCTACTGTGCCCAAGTAATTTCCCTTGTGGATCAATACACTTTGTCTAAGTGTAAGCTGCTGACAGTTTAAAAATATTATGGATATGAATCATGATAATTTGAATATTATGAATAGGTTCCATATTTAAGTGGAGTTAATATGACTGACTGAGATTCAGGAGCAGGAACAGGACCACGCCTCCCCCTCCTCCTCTCCAGCCAACCACACCTACAGTTACCCAGAAGCCCTATTTATACAGGCCTGTCCAGACAACACCATCTGTCTCCGCTCTCTCGACCCCCTCTCTGCCACCCCGTATCGCTCCTTCTGCCTGAATACATCATCTACAAGGGGAACGGGGGTCCTGAATCGATTGGGTTGACCACCATTCAGAGTCTCCTGCCATCACATCTATCCATCGTCAATAAATATCTTTATCATATTACATTGTTGTGGCGTGGTCCTTGCTAGTGAAAAAACTGCTATAGTGTTGTACTTTGTTGGTGAAAGTGAAAATATCTTATATAGAAAAAAACATTAAGCACATTCTGGTGATTTATGGCAATTATCTTTGTTGGCGATACATGATAATGTCCCACGAATGATTATTGTCTACCATTATTATCATGATAAATAATATTATTGTTTATTGACCCATCCCTACCTGCGCAGTGCCAGTCCAGAGGAGTGAAAACAGGGCTGAATAAAAACCATTCTTGTGGTCCAACACTGTTCCCGTTACTGCTGCTCCAAGCTCTGGAGAGTGAAGTCTAGCCAAAATAAAATCTCCCCCGTAGTGCTTGGGTTGTCCCTGGAAGTCATACACTTGGACCAGGATCTCCAGCTGGTCCCCCACATGCCACTCCCGTCCTGTTTTAGGGGGCAGTATGGCAAAGAGGCTCTGGACAGGGTCAGTGGTGAAACGCAGAGAGAAGGACCCAGGCTGATGGGAGTGCTCAGGCCAGGAGATAGAGTTCAGAAGATAGTGCTCTTCCAGCTCATCTTCAGGGGACGGCCTCTGCCCCAGGTGGGAGCAGAAGGTGCGGTTGTGATAGAATGTGGTCAAAGACTCTGGGTTGAAAGATGTCTGGATTCGGCTCTGCAGCTGATAGAGAGCGGAGATGGTGTGGCAGTTCCAGTTCTAAAACAACAAAGGATTCATCTGTGACTGTGGTTAATTGAATAAATAAATAAATAAATACACACTTTTTTCAGGTGACTGGGACCCACTTTCATATAGCAAGAATTATAACCATTTTGAAGGTATTAGCTGGCTTCATACTCTAATATTCCACTATACTTATCCAGAACTACTTATTGACAATAATTTTACCTGCCTCATTAAACACCACAGACCAACTTGTATGTAAGATGTAAAACCCAGCAGTTTCCATGTACAGTAGAACTATGTTATGAGGAGGACTGGCTCAGTTCAAGAAACAGTTGTTGCCACAAGCACAGGAACTATCAAATAGTTACTATTTTTATCCTCAATCTGTTAAACAAAATTAGCAACTCTAACTCTGTTACAACTCACCTCGACAGTATGAATGTTACGGAGTAGAAAAATTAGACCAGACAGCGCTATGAACAGGAAGATGAGTGCATATTTTGACAGATTGCGACACATGGTGACTTCTCTTTGGCCATGATTGAGCCCCATTGCACCCCCAGTTTCCGTGTCCATTAGTAAGCAGGGCAGAACACTGAAAACACATGCAGTGAATTAATAAATACATTCTGTTTGCAGAATCATTGATGACTGAACAGCCACGTGTTCAAAGGTCAAGGCACTTATCTAACTTTAATGTACCAGAGCTTGTGACAGTAGGATATTATAATCAGAGCTGGGCAGTAGTTACAAAGTAAAGGATTAATGTAATCAGAATATATATATTTTTTAGTAATGCAGAAATGTAACTAGTTACATTTGAAAATTGAGTAATTAGATTAAAGTTACTTTTTCCCTGCCAAAATGCATGTTACCCATTAGAACAGTAAAAAGATAAACAGAGAAATTTTAAATTAGACTGAAGAATTCATGCTTTTTATAAATTGGTTCCTGACCTGTATGTTTCCTTTATTTCAAAGTAACTGATAGTAATCAGTAATTTAATTAAGACCACTTTCGAAATAAAGTATTCAGACTAAGAAAGAAGGTGAAGGTGTTTTCCGGTTATGTCTTAGCAGTTTATCTCGTGGTCCACGGCGCTTACATGAACTTCTAGCGTTATTTTGGCTAAAGGATGGTCATAATGCATGCTCATAATGCATGCTCATAATGCATGGTCATAATGCATGGTCATAATGCATGCTCATAATGCATGTCAGAAAAAAAGGCGGATTTCCATGAAAACGGTCATTTTTTCACGTTCATGTGATTGTGTTTTCAAGCATCTGGCTTTTATCAAACAGTGAACCAGGGTGACATTACCAGTAAATGCAGGATTTCTACACATTATTTGCTTTATTTGAAGAAGCGATCGCATGCTCATCTCTAAACGCGATTAACCTGTAAATCTGTGTAAATCTGCCGTATCGTGCCATCATCTGCAAGACTCGAGAGGATGATGCTATGCTGCTGTAAGCACAGTAGTAGGATCGAATGGGGGAGGGTCGCTCAAAATATATATTTAAAAAAGCCTTTTACGAGAAACATAATGATCTACTTACCCCCGTTACACTAAGATATAAGTGTAACACCAACTCGTAGGAATGGGAAATAAGGATGATGTGGCAACATCTTCACTGGACATGGAGGAATAACACAATGATATAGCGTCACACACAGCCGCCCTGCAGACCATCAATTTAAGCACCCCCTAGTGGACAGCAATGGGTAGGATAAGGGATAACCCGCACAGACGGGTGAAGACCTCAAAACTACTACTGGTAGTAGAGGATTAGTACCATTCTCAGCTTTCGTGATCAGTGACCAAAGCTGAAAATGGTTTATTTCATACTCCCATATGAAGGCCCTAAGTCAGTTTTCCTATCAGTTACATTTTAAAAGGCACATAGTAATGAAATAATTTAACATCTCTGGAAGCGCACAGCCAATTATTATTGGCTATGCAAAAAGACAAAAAAGACAGAATGTAATTTAAACCTTTAATATTAATTATGCCTGTACCCTATGTGAACTACAGTGTACTCAGCTCAGCAGCAATTCAAACATTGTTTTATTTTCTTAAGCAAATAAATATGTACATATATTGAAATGAATTATATAGTAACTAAAAAATTAGGGATGGGCATGATCGATAATTGATCATTAAGAAATTCATCGATTACGTTCATTTTAATCGACAAACCGAATGTAGGTTGATGTGCGTAGCGTGACCAAACAGGGGTCCGTACATGTAGCTCTCTGCACTCAGAAGGAGCGAGCAAACACAGTCGGTCAGTCTGCAACGCAAATGTGTATTTAACGATGACTTGTACAAGAAATTCCACGCTTTCCGTTGCGTTCGGGACAAGTGTGAGTCCATGTGCACAGTGTACAAAGCAGCACATATGTTTCGGTGTCCAGTGGGAAAAAGTTTTACCAGGTGGGAGTCGCGCGATGACGAGGACCCACGTCCCACCCCCCGTACGGTGTCCGATCGTTAATTCTTCCGACGATCGATTAAGAAAATTTCATCGAATGCCCATCCCTATAAAAAATAAATACTACATTAAACTGAGCTTGCTTAAATTGGCTTTTGCTATCCACGCAAAACATTTAGGTATTTTAAGTGCACTGTTATTTGAGATCTGGGTCAGCAATCGTCGGAACATCTTGTGTTGGAGTAACGGTGACTTCATCCAGTCCTATTTAAGAATCCCTTCTGTGCATGCAGTTTTTTCCTCCTCTGGTTGGTCTTTCTCAGTTACTTTTGTATTGTGAGACAGAGGTGACGATGATTGAGGCGTTTCAGACCTGTCACTGAGCACCTCCTCTGCCTCTTCTTCTCTCTGCTGAACTGAAGACAGATACTGCTCCAAGAGGCTGCAGTCTGGGCTGTCATCTCCTGCATTTGTACAAACTAAACCAGGACTCAAAGCTCGCACAGTTTTCAGAGAGTCTGTGGTGCCACTACTCAAGAAGCTGTCCTCTGGAGCAGCCTGTGGTCCATTACTTGTTGACTGAAATCCAGAGTCTGGGAAGGACACATCAGTGCTGGGAGGGTTTTTAGTGCTAGAAGCGACAGGTGTAGCAGATTCACAGGGTCTCAGAAGTGGGCTCTGGTTTATCTGAGTAATGCTAGCAAGCTGGTGTTCCACAGACCGCTTCCACTCCTGCATAGACTGAAGCTATGGGGGAAAAAAAGCATTTAATCAAGAGTAGGCAGCCGTTTTACAATAATTGAAAATGAAAAATGACATACTTCTTTCCACAAAAACTTCACAGTTTCTTCCTGTACCATCCTTTGTAGTTTTTCATCTTCATACTGCTGTTGCAATCTGCAAAACATTAAAATGTTAGTGTATGGTAATTTTGTAGTTCACTTTAAAAGATTATTATAATGAAAGTAGAGTCAAAATGCTGGCAAATGTTACCCGTCTAATTTCTCTGAAAGAAACAGGATATGGTCTTGCAGCCGCCTCAGTCGAATTTCATTTCGCACTTCTTTGGCTTTCAGGTTTGAAAAACGTGTGAACTGGCCCCTCCACCAAGACTGTATTTTAATAGCAGCCTTCACAGCCTCCACTGAATCAGAGTGGAGTTTGTGTTCTTCTGCATGTTCACCTGCATCAACCCTTAGACATTTCTCATAAGAAGGTTTTGCCATAATTTGTGGAAAGTCATTGTTATTAGAATTGCTTTTAAGAAGAGCAGTAGTTGCACTAGCCTCTTGGTTTGTGGTCAAAGGAGAGGGATGCTCTCTCTTCGAGTTGTTTCTTTTGGGCTCAGAGATTTTCGGAGCCAGAGAGTCAGGTTCAAATGTTTCTGTTTCATCCTCACTGTCAGAGGGACCAGTGTGGAGTTCAAGTTCACATTTGAATGGGATAAACGTGGACTCAGATGATAGCATACTACTGTTGAGTTTGTCCTCATCTGGTTGCACATCTTCCAAATAGACTGGCTCATCAAGTCTTGGGTTGCGATTCACGGGTAGGGACGCATGGGCAGCATCACAGCTCACCCAGGTATTAATCTGCAACACTGGCTCTAAAGAGGGTTTAAAGGGAGAGAAGAAAATCACAAAGGCCCTGAACACATAAAACCCTGAGGCATAAACTTAATTGTTACATACTGGTCTCTTGGGGTGGGTTGACAGTAGATGCTGTGTTCATCAACTCTCTGGTTCCCTCTTGTGACAGAGATGTACTGTGCTTGTCCACGTCCAATTGTGTGGGACGAGGAGGGCTGGGACAACCTACACGACTTTCCTCCAAGAGCTGCTTTTGGTGCAGTCTGAGGGGAAAACAAGAAGGTGATGACTATAAGTTTATAAAAAGTGAAATAAAAAAAAAATGTTTGGAACAATCCGTGTAAATCCGTGTATCATTCGTTCATTTGTTTTTCAATATAAAACCAAAGATAAGAAAATGAAAAACAACGGTTTTCTTCATTATTTGTCTCCAAAACCAAAATGAAAAAAATGGATAACGATTAGTTTTTTCAGTTTTCGATTTTGCGTTTAAATGAATAATAGAAAAAAACGGATAACGTCCATTTTCCGTTTACGTGACATCCGTGACTGCAATGCCGATTCTTATTTTTGGTTTTATATTGAAAAACTAATAAACGAATGATACACGGATTTGGAACCTTTGCTTCCTCAAGATCTTCTCCAGCTTTGCATCTTCTGCTGTTTCCAGAGCTGGTGAGGAGGTCAGAGGACATACAGTGACCAAGTACTGAACCAACTGAACATGTTGTCCTGGTCGAAAAGAGCGACCTTTGCCTTGACTGTACAGCCACTCTGCTTTCAGGCTAAAATAAAATAGCAGATAGTAGTAAGTAAAAAAAAAAGAAGTAAAATAGTAAATAATAATAATAATAATAATAATGATAATAATAGAAAACACATGCATGTCTGTGTATTTTCAGTCAAAAAACACACACGCATACCCTTCCTTCTGGGACACTACATAACCATCTAGAACTTTTAGGTTCAGACACCAGCTCATGATGTATGGCCTGTAGTCAAACCCTGGCAGTGAAGGAGTGGCCATAACACAAGGGTTGCTCATGATAGACAGCTGCTCCAGGTCTTGAAGAGGTGCTAGATATGACACCTAAAAGTAAACACAATATGTCTCTAAAGTCAGTCCTACTCCTACATGCCACAAACAAGGAAATAATATCCACAGTGAATATGTTGTACCTCATTGAGATCTCTGATTTCATTTTCCGCAAGGGAGAGAATAGATAAATGAACAGGTAGGTGTGCAGGAACTGTACGGAGCGTTGTAATGCTGTTTCCATGGAGTAACAATGTCTACAGTAAAAAAAAAAGAAGAAAAAAATCAAGTGAATACATTTTACAGCTGAAACATACTATACTAGTGCATTTACCTTTAACTCAACTAGTTTGGTCAAGTCTCCAATAACTGATATGTTATTATCAGAGAGGTCCAGATGTTGAAGTGAAACACAGTTGTTCAGTTGCTCAATGACCTTAAATGGTAAAAATGAAAAATATGCATGTTTAGATGTGACATATAAATGTTAAACAACAATATAAGGCTTTATATATGCAAGTACCTTAATGTTGTTACCCGATAGGTTAAGCCATTTCAAATAAGGCATATCTCTTAGTCCTTCAATATAGCCAATACTGTTATTAGGAAGGTTCAGGACTCTGAGTTCAGTTAACCGAGACACACCCATCATCCTCACCAAGCGATTACTGGCTACAGATAGCTGAAGGAAAATAGTAGAAATATATTACACAACTTGAAAATGTGATAGTCTCTAACATTAGACGAGGCAAAATTGACTCTTGTGAGCTTTAAGTCAAGTTATAATGCTTTTGCCACCTCAAGAACACACCTAGAGTTGTGTTTTGTTTAATTCACACATTTTGGGTAACCCTGCATCTACATCTCCCAAGCTCAAAATGGTCTGGTCCACCTTGTGATGTCGTGAAGCGGTAGTTTTCAAGCTACTTTTTACCTTTTGTTCAGCAGAGATTGGCAATTCTAAGTCTTAAATTATCCAAGTGATTCTAATGAAGATGTATGGAGTTAAAAACACAGTGGACCTTCTGCATTACCACATGACATCACAAGGTGGAACAGAGTGTTTTCTGTTTGAGAGAAGAACTAAACATGCAGGATTTGTGTGTGAATGAAACAAAACACAACTCCAGGTATTTTTGTGATGAAGCAACAGCATTATAACATAGATCAGAAAACAGCATAATATTTTAAAGACCTTTAAACAACAACTTAACTACCTGCTGGATGCCCGGATTTCTTTCCATATAATCCAACTTCATGATTTGATTGCGGTCAAGAATGAGAGTGTGGGTGTCCTCCGAGCATGTGAAATTAGGATCCAGCTTCTGCAAACTCTGGTCTGAAAGATCCAACACAAGTCCTGGAAAGGTGACGAAGAAAAAAATAACTGAAATAGTGTACTTTGATTCAACATCTTGATAATCAAATGTTATGATGGTTTAGTTTATTAAAAGTAAAAGAGGTGAGGGTTGCAGCAAATACTCCTCATGCATTAGATTAAGTTTCACAACGTAATCTTTTGTCTGTAAATATATATACAAAATCAAAAACTAAAAGGATGACTGAGTATGTAAGTATGGTAAAAGCTAGAATGTCAGTGATCACCCAAAAGAACAGAAGATGCTAACTTAACGTTCAGACACAGTTCACAAAGAAATCTACAAATACAAGTAAAATCAACCAAAAAAGGGCATAAGACAATGTAAACGCAGCCCCTACCGGTTTTTGAATCACACTGTAAATCCGAAACACCCATCCTTTCACCGTAATAATAGTTAGCAAACTCCACTAGCTGCAGAGATGGTCTTTAGTTGTGTTGTGATGGGAAGACGCACAGCAGCCGCCAGATTTGGGTTGATTATGGGAAATGTAGTTTTCTGAGTTAAGAGAAAATTATTGTCGTTGAGTGTCAATCTGACTACTATCAAAACTTTATTTATATGTACATTTGCAATACAAAACACCAGCATACACCAGTTTAACTGTTGTAGCGAGCTATGTTGGATATAAATATTGTCAGTAGTCTGTTCTTCCGTTTCCGTTGTTGCTGTCGTCCTTTCCGGTTGTTGCCCTCTCGTAGCCATCATGAAGTAAGTGTACGGAATATTAGCTAAAGCCATCTATGAGTTTTAAACAAACGTACACTGGTGTTGAATATGTTAAAAGAATGTACATAAACGATTCTTTTGATAACGTGAACCATTTATTGTTTTTAGGGTCGAGTTGTGCAGTTTTAGCGGGTACAAAATACCCGGGCCATGGCCGCCGATACGCCAGGATAGACGGGAAGGTAAAGCCTGACACCGGCTCGTCTGGTGTGCCTATTCACTGCCTATGTTTTTTTAACGTCAACACAAGACTGGCGTTAAATTAAATATAACTAATTCTGTATTAAAATCTGTTGTGAAAAGTCGCTGTTGACAAATAAGCACCCAGTATTCTTAAGAGTTGGTTAGCATTAGCATCACAATTCATTTGGCATGTTACTAGCGGTGTGTTTTAACCTTCTGCAAAATCTCTTGTTTACTACTTGTTATAATGGTAGTATGAATGTTTATTTTCAGGTGTTCCAGTTCTTGAACGCCAAATGTGAATCCGCTTTCCTGGCTAAAAGGAATCCACGACAGATCAATTGGACTGTGCTGTACAGACGCAAGCATAAGAAGGGCCAGTCAGTAAGTAACATTTGTTGTACAATTCGACCAGGATTAAAGCTGTTTTGATTTAATGTATAGTAAGGCTGCGGGTGAACGGGGTGCATGGTGGTGGTCCTTGTCATGTGTTGCTGTGAGTCTGTGTTTTGCAGACTCTGCAGTAGCACTCACTCCACACCTGCAGCCACAGAGCACCCAGGAGATCATAGTACTGGCCTTTGACTGTCTTCAGTGACTTATTCCCATTGGCTGGCCTCCAAACTCTCCAACAGTTTGTCATTTTCACCAAGAAGTTATAATTTTACACTCGCTGATTCTTGATTAACAGGAAGAAGTGGCGAAAAAGCGTACCCGCCGCGCAGTCAAGTTCCAGAGGGCCATCACTGGTGCCTCCCTGGCTGAGATTATGGCCAAGAGGAACCAGAAACCTGAGGTCCGCAAAGCCCAGAGGGAGCAGGCCATCAGGTAAACCCACAAAGTTTGACAATTTTAACTTGAATTCATATTGCTTAATATTTAGATCTTGCACAATCTGTAATAAAATATCCCATGTGTTACATAGTATATCTAAAATGTAATTAAAAAGCTTAGAAATCTCCTTTTGTTTTAAAAGCTGCTGTGGTTTTCATGTTCAACCCACCTCAAAAATGTTAAACCCTAATGTCTTTTGTCCCCTTTTGTAGAGCCGCTAAGGAGGCAAAGAAGGCAAAGCAGGCAGCCAAGAAGCCTGCTGCCCCTAGTGCAAAGGTAAGAATTTAACATTGAGGAAAAAAATATTTGGTTACGAGTGACTGCAAACAAAATGACTTGTGGGATTCATTCATGTAAATGCAACTAACTGTACTCAGTGTTTGTCCTGTTACTTTTTGTTTTAAGTGTACGAAAACTTTTTTTTTTTTTTTTAACCACCTCTAGACCTCTGCAAAGACTGCACAGAAACCCAAGATCGCCAAGCCCATGAAGGTCAACGCACCTCGTGTTGGTGGAAAACGCTGAACCTTCTATTGGTTGTTAATAAACTTTTGTGGTTTATCACATTGGTGTTCGTAATGGATGCTTGGGAGGGTTGTGAAAAATAAATGGGAAGTGACTTATTAGTGAATGTAATATACAGTGCACATGCCTTGAGTTGTAAGAACTAACACCGCAACAGGTTTTGTTTTTTATTAGCATCGCATAGCCTTTCAGTAGCCACTGCTGGTTAATTCATGTCATTTAGTCACAATAACTCATCAGTGAAAATGTCAATTAAGGCTCACAAAATACTTGCCTACTTCATATTTAAAATTATCTGAATTTTACAATTTTTCCCATAAATTAATATAAAGCTGTTAATGGTTTGGGTTTTATGAACAGTTAAAGCATAAAATTATGTGTAATGAGGTAAAAATTAAAAATGACACTAATAATTTAATGGAAAACATTCACAACCTATTCAAGGTATTTACTGCTACAGAAGGATGAAGGCAAAATCTTCCCAAACTGTTCAAGATGAAAATGTACAATCAAACACTTGTATAAAACAAGTCCTTGTGCGCTAATGATGACAAATCTGTTGACGATTAAAATGTCCCTTTTATTTCACCCTGAGGAAACTCAAACCTGTACATTTCCATCAGGGAAAAGAGGCGCAGTATGGTGAAACACGATTATGGCATGGATGTTAGAGATGTGAATGTAGAAGTATTGAAAAGAGAGGGCAGATTAAGTGCCCACTGTATAATCTCCAGAGTTGGTTGCATTTAGGACTCTCCAGCTGCATTTGCTTCTGCTGCCTTTGCTTCTTCTGCCTTCTTATCTTGTTTGTAACTGAAACAGAGAAATAGATACATTTACAGACCGCTTAAAAACAATTAGTACTAGATCACATTCAATACAGACCTCCAAATCCTGTAAAGCTGGGAAGCGCCTGCACTGCCAACAAAAAAGTTGACTGCGAAGAGATTCCAGTTTTTGGGAATAATCACCAAAGAATATCTGGACCAGATCAACCCTGAGCAGAAGAGAAACAGAGCACAGATCATGCACACATGCATGTTTTGGGTAAATAGTAACTACTGATAGCAATTTGTTTGACAAAAATATTGCAAAACATAATGTATGACGTTAACGACATGACTTTTGGCACACATTTCAACATTTAGTCAGACCACCTTACCTGTGGCTGTGAGTACGGCTGATTGAGAAGTGCTTAATTTATCTGCTGGTCTTGTCATATCGGCCAAACCAGCAAGAACTAAACCCTGAATAAAATGAAGACAGAAGACTTTAACATAATCAGTTCACAGATGGCCTCAGCACTCTGCAGCAAAACTTACCCATTTAAACATCGGGGCCCAGAAGAAGACTGTTTTTGGACCTTAAAAAGAAAAAGGGGGTTAATTTACAAACTGTTATGAATTATTAATACATAGCTTAAGTATTTTTGTAATAGTCAGCAGTAGATATGTGAGCTGCTACGAATATTACTAACAACAAA